TATCGTCTGATTGCTTACAGATGCTGCTATAGTGGACTCCGTCTCGAAACGACACTCAGACTTGAGACGGACGAATTCTCGTGCGATTTCATCCGTTTGACGCTGACTCAGTATCCTGTAGACAATTAAGGATGACACTCAAGAAACCATTTGATTCAGTCTCAAAAAAATGCTTTCATGGAATCTACTAGCGTGACATTATCAAATGCTAGAGTTTATCTCACTAAAACTGTGTCTCAGTTTGTTAAACTGCTTCACAAATTGAACTGGATTGCGCATTCAAAGAAATTTGGTTGCGATTATGAGAACTGAATCTTTGATAATGTAATGCTTTTCTTTTTTTTGAGAGAGAGAAAGGTTCTGACCTGAGCAGAATCAATCCGGTTTCATCGATATGGAATCGTCGTCCAAGTTGTACCCAGCAAGCGCACGAGCCTTGTTCAACAACACCCGCCAGCTGCAGCACTCCAACGCCAACGATACGATCCTCACGAGCGAAACAATAGTCCTTCACTTGAAACATCAACTCGTAGTGTTCTGGTTCACCTTCATTACCAAGAAAGCTGAAAGGATCAAATTTGAGTGCTGAGAAAACACCTATTGTAATGTTCATGAGACACTTACTGCAATGTTCATCAAATTCCAAAGCAAATATTTGATCGCTTAGAGCAAAATCATATTGAGGATACCAATCGTGATTTGATACAAAAATGTTGATTTATCGATGAAGCATAGTGTTTTTCTTCGATAGATGCGAATTTTCACAGAATTTCTTCTCCTCTCATAGATATTTTTACTTCATAGAACACTTTTAGGCATGCGGAAAAATGAGCATATCAAAATCTTACAAATGAAACGTCTCATTGAATTTTGGTGCCCAATTGCCGGCTTTCGATTTTGTGGCCATTTTACGCTTCTTATCCGCTAAATGCGGACCAACTAAGTGAATCTCCACAAATGGTTTGAAGACGCTTGCGGTTTGCCACCTCAGATCATTTGCAGCCAAAACTGAAACGATAGATTAGTGGTTAGGTGGAGAGGTGACTGCAAAGAAGAAAGAAACTCTGAGGGAAACACTGGCAAGTTGGGAAAGGATCATTGAGTTCTCTCTGAGAATCACATCTTCTTGATCTGGAGCGATGATTAAAACAGTTAATTTCTTTTCTGG